AAAAAAAAAAAAAAGAAATATTATAAATTTTAAAATATTACATTAAGAAATCAATTTTACTGTGGATACATTTTATTGATATATAATATTCCATTATATAATTTTAACAATCTATCCTCAAATAAGATATTTCATCATGAGAAAATAGAGCATTTGGCAACTTTGATCTTCAGTAAAACTAACCTAATCCGAGGCTTTACGATGACAAGCATGAAGGAGCAACCTAACGTGTGTGCACCTGTTGCTGTAGCCGGGTTTTGGCGGCAGCACATTATGTGCTAGATGACCAGGCCCTGTTAGAGCCCAGGCACCTAGGGAACAGGGAGCATCAGGACCCCCAGGCTGCTGCTCAGACTTCAAGCCTGTCCTGATGATCCTTATTCCAAACATCATTTTATTTCACCAGTAATTCCCAATATATCTACATCTATGTTCTTATTTAGCAGAGATGGGATCTTGCTATGTTGTCCAGGTTGGTCTCGAGCTCCTGGCCTCAAGTAATCTTCTGGTCTTGGCCTTCCAAAGTGCTGGGATTACAGGCATGAGCCACCAAACCTGACCAATATTTACAATTTTTAAAAGCCACTGTATAATAATAAACCTTTTGGCTAGGCGTGGCGGCTCATGCCTACAATCCCAGCACTTTGGGAAGCCAAGGTGGGTGGATCACGAGGTCAAGAGATTAAGACCATCCTGGCCAACATGGTGAAACATCATCTCTACTAAAAATACAAAGATTAGCTGGGTGTGGTGGCAGGCACCTGTAATCCCAGCTACTCAGGAGGCTGAGGCAGGAGAATCTCTTGAACCCGGGAGGCGGAGGTTGCAGTGAGCGGAGATTGCACCATTGCACTCCAGCCTGGGGCACAAGAGTGAGACTCCACCTCAAAAAACAAACAAACAACAACAACAACAAACTCTTATTTAGCAACTCGCTCAGTCTTCCTTTTCTGAACTTGCACATCGACCATCACGCTATGAGGATGCTCAAGGCTGTAAAAGCCCCTCTATAAGCAAATGGAGGGAGGCAGTTCCACTTTGACCAAAGCAGAAGACGCAGAAGCATCATCCGTCAACATTTTAGGCAGTGTTATTCCAGTGCTGATGTGGAGTTCTTTGATTATATTCTTTTTTTTTTTTTTTTCTTTTTTTTGAGACGGAGTCTCGCTCTGTCACCCGGGCTGGAGTGCAGTGGCCGGATCTCAGCTCACTGCAAGCTCTGCCGCCCGCCGGGTTCACGCCATTCTCCTGCCTCAGCCTCCCGTGTAGCTGGGACTACAGGCACCGCCACCTCGCCCGGCTAGTTTTTTGTATTTTTTTTAGTAGAGACGGGGTTTCACCGTGTTAACCAGGATGGTCTCGATCTCCTGACTGCGTGATCCGCCCATCTCGGCCTCCCAAAGTGCTGGGATTACAGGCTTGAGCCACTGCGCCCAGCCTAAATTTCTACCTTTCATTCATTCCTCAGGTAAAGGACACAAGCCCATTCCCTTTCTGGTCTGCTCTTCAGACAGCTTCTTGGGAAACCAGACACTAATCATTTCAGAAGTGACTGTTTATCAAATACACACCCTCTGGGGGTAAGGGGTGACTTGGAGGTTGCTGGGCCAGTGTGGGAATCTCCCAGTGTCCCTGTCCGTGTTGTCAGAGGCGGTCACTGTTTGGTCCCAGAGGGGGCAGCTCCCATTGTGTAACAAAACACCCGTCTGTGCACAGCAAAGGAGAAAAGTGACACTCGTCTACCATCGATCAGAGGCTGGGTTTTCATGACACACGGGACAAGGTCTTTTTACGTTCCAAGAGACTCTTTGGAAGTTGCTTATATACCCCGCGTCCTTGAAAAACGAACTTGAGAGATTAAAAAGGGCGCTTATAAACTCGAGTTGTCCAATCGATCAAAGGATGACTCACCAAGACTTCTGAGGAAGCCACAGACTCTTCTGGAAGCATCAGTTACACTGAGGTTGAATTTAGCAGCAAAATAAGGCAAAGACTGAGGACACACAGACACTACCAGCACTTTGTGCTTTGAGGTGTCACATTTCTGGAAGAAGAAATAGAGAATGTCAGGTATCTGCTGATTATACAAGGAGTAAAAGTTAGACATCTTAATGAGAAATTCAGAACAACGTAATGGATGGTCTATGCAAAGACTAATAAAATAGACAAACACTGGCAAACATAATTAAGGAAAAAGAAGAAAAAAAATCAGGATTATGGTGAGGTCTGGGCTTCTGGTAAATATTTTTTTAGAAGTCAGGATTTACAAAATGAAACATGAGCTGGCTTCGGTGGTGTATGCCTATGGTTCCAGCTATACAGGAGGCTAAGGCAGGAGGATCGCTTGAGGCTAGGAGTTCGAGACTGCAGAGCCTATAATCACACTTAGCAACAGCCACAGCCACTGCACTCTAGCCTGGGTGACAGAGTAATACTCTGTTTCTTTTTCGTTGTTGTTTGTTTTTTGAGACAGAGTTTCACTCTTATTGCCCAGGCTAGAGTGCAGTGGTACCATCAATCTCAGCTCACTGCAACCTCCACCTCCCAGGTTCAAGTGGTTCTCCTGCCTCAGCCTCCCAAGTAGCTGGGATTATAGGGACCCGCCACCATGCCCAGCTAATTTTTTGTATTTTTAGTAGAGATGGGGTTTTGCCATATTGGGCAGCCTGGTCTCGAACTCCTGACCTTGTGATCCGCCTGCCTCGGCCTCCCAAACTGCTGGGATTACAGGCATAAGCCACCTGGCCTGGCCGATACTCTGTCTTAAAAGAGACATGACTACAGATCTAAGAGACTTTGTCAATTTCAGGAATAATGTTATATCAGTAAATGTGCATATCTGGAAAAAATAATTTTAAAGGGAAAATACAAATTACAACATTGGCCAATGAATAACTGAAATTACTACATAATAATAAAAAAACACACACACTAAAATGGTATCCAGAGATGCCTCTTAAAAGTCATCAGCCCGGCTGGGCATGGTGGCTCACAGCTGTAATCCCAGAACTGTGGGAGGCTGAGGCAGAAGAATTGCTTGAACCCAGGAGGTGGAGGCTGCAGTGAAACGGAGGTTGCAGTGAGCTGAGATCGCTCCACTGCACTCCAGCCTGGGCGACAGAGCGAGACTCCAACTCAAAAAAAAAAAAAAAAAAAGAAAACAAAAGTAACCAGGCCCAAGACACTTCGTGAGTAAGCCTCATCTACAAACTGTTCTAAAAAAATACTGCATAAACTAGCATAAAACCACAAGGCTATCAATATCCTTAAATCAAAACTAGACATTGGCAGTGCAATAGAAGACAGGTTTAGATAAAAAGAGTCAAGGTCCGGGTGTGGTGGCTCATGCCTGTAATCCCAGCCCTTTGGCAGGCTGAGGCCAGTGGATGGCCTGAGGTCAGGAGCTCGAGACCAGCCTGGCCAACAGGGAGAAACCCCATCTCTACTAAAAATACAAAAACTAGCCAGACATGGTGGTGTGCACCTGTAATCCCAGCTACTCAGGGGGCTGAGGCAGGAGAACTGCTTGAACCCAGGAGGTAGAGGTTGCAGTCAGCCAAGATCGCACCACTGCACTCAAGCCTGGGCGACAGAGCGAGACTCCATCTCAAAAAAGAATAAAGAAATAGACACGCAGCAGGAGGGTGGGGTGGAAGTAATGGGAGAAAAAAAAAAAAGAAGGCCAGGTACAGTGGCTCGTACCTGTAATACCAGCACTTTGGGAGGCCAAGGCGGGTGGATCACTTGAGGCCAGCAATTAAAGACCAGCCTGGCCAACATGGCGAAGGCCAAAAAAAAGAAAGAAATGGACGCACATCTATCAATATATGAGAGAGATAGGATATTTCAGGTCAACGGGGAAAGAAGAGAAGATGCTGGAACAACTTGACTTTTTCGAATAGAAAAGAATGTATCTGCCTGGGCATGGTGGCTCATGCCTGTAATCCCAGAACTTTGGGAGGCCGAGGCGAGCAGATCACTTGAGGTCAGGAGTTTGAGACCAGCCTGGCCAACATGATGAAACCCTGTCTCTATTAAAAATACAAAAATTAGCTGGGCATGGTGGCACATGCCTTTAATCCCAGCTACTTGAGAGGCTGAGGTAGGAGAATTGCTTGAACCCAGGAAGGAGAGGTTGCAGTAAGCTGAGATCACACCACTGCACCCCAGCCTGGAAGACAGTGAGACTCCATCTCAAAAAAGAAAAAAAAAACGGAGAAAGAATGTATCCACATCTCACACTGTACTAAAATATAAGTTGTAGACTGGACAAGCAGCATAAGATAAAATATAAACTGTCAATAAACATAATCTGCGGCAACCAACTTCTCTAAATAAGCAGGAAAATGCAAATGAGATACAATTTTCTATGCATCAGGTTGGAAAAAACTGAATTTGATATTGCATGTGACCAGGATGGCTGCACACAGCTGTTTGCCCATATCACTTAGGGAAGTATAAAGTGACACAGACACTTTCAAGAGTGTTTTTGCAAAAACCGTTGATACCACAGAATTAAGTCTCTAGTAGTCTGCAAAGCTGCATCCACTAAGTCTGTACAACATAACAAAATGGCTGAAGCCATTCTGTTCCCTGAAAGGCCAAGGGGGAGCAGGTGGGGACGGGTATGCATGGCGAACCTGGCTGATGGGGGTGGCATCTCCTGGTTCAGACCATCCTAACCAGGCAGCCTGCTGCTTGCTAATGGAGCTCCCGTGCAACTGCATGTAAGTCAGCGTGCACCCAGACACGACGAATGCGGGCAACACAAACTGCATGTGTGATCTAGGTCATGCATGGTGGTCGACGCCTGTAATCCCAGCACTTTGGGAGGCTGAGGCAGGAGGATTGCTTGAGCACAGGAGTTCAGGACCAGTCTAGGCAACATGGCAAAACCCCATCTCTACAAATAATACAAAAATTAGGCAGGTGTGATAGCACGCGTCTGTGGTCCCAGCTGCTCTGGAGGCTACAGGGAGCCTCCGGAGGTGGGAGGATCACCTGAGTCTTCCCACTGAGCCAAAACTACACCACTGCCCTCCAGCCTGGGTGAGACCCTCTGTCTCAAAAAGAAAAATATTGTGATCTAATCGATGCTGGATGACTTGTCCAGAAGATGCCATGGGGGTAAATGGCAAACGCGAGAAGGCTCCTTGGCTGTCCCCTATGCCACCACACTTAAGCCAGTCAGTGTTTCTTGAGGCCCCTACCTTGCTCTAGCACACTACCTACTGTGAATGGGCGCCTACACCCTGGGCGGGGTAGGATGCCGATGCTTCCTTTGGAGGTGACAGCATGGAAACCAGGAAGTGCTTTTCAACCTCATCTGCCTTTGTCTCTTTCTCTTTCACCTGTGATACGGTTTGGCCCTGTGTCCCCACCCAAATCTCATGTGAAACTGACGGCTGGGCCTGGCGGGAGGTGACTGGGTCATGGGGGCAGATCTCCCACTTGCTCTTCTCGTGGTAGTGAGTCCTCACAAGATCTGGTTGCTTACAAGGGTGGAGTACCTCCCCCTTCAGTTGCTCGCTCCTGCTGCCACGTGAGGACATGCTTGCTTCCCCTTCGCCCTTCTGCCATGATCGTTTCCTGAGGCCTCCCCAGCCATGTCTCCTGTAGAGCCTGTGGAACTGTGAGTCAATTAAACCTCTCTGCTTTATAAATTACCCAGTGTCAGGTAGTTCTTTGCAGCAATGTGAGAATGGACTAATACAACCCATCTCATGGAAAGACAAGTGGCACCTTTAGGTCTGTATAGGAGGTCTGCAGGGACGAGCTGAAGGAAGGAGCTTTGGGAATTTTTACTTCCTTGGAGTGTCTCTGCCTTGCCCCAAGCTGATCGGTCTATTAGAACATAACTCTCGTGTCCGAAAACGTGCAGCGGAGGCAGAACAGCAGGAGCTCCAGCTCTGTGCTGCCCGCATGATCACCAACACCCGTGTTACCAGACCTCACCAGGAAGAGGCCCTGCTTAAGCCACAGGAGCCTGAGGGGTGGTGCCAGCCCCCCACCACTGCCTGAGCATCATTAAGGGAGCATGAAATTGTGCAGGGATTTTGCTCTTGATGGAGAGGATTGGAACAAGGTCAAAGCGGGACGTTATCAACACCGGGAAAAGGCTGAGATGTGCATCGGCTGTCCCAGCAGAGGCTTCTGTACAGGAAGCCAGGACTCCCCTCGACCTCCAGGCCGGCTCCCCAGCATCAGCAAATGCCCTGAATGCCTTACCTTGTTAAGGTTCAGAACGCGGAAGAAGTCCTTGGCATTTTGCTGGGAAAGCTGGACTCCTTCCTCTGCAGTCACGCAGCTGTCACATGCCAGGCAGTCACTCAAAAATATCCTGGCATCAGCCAGCTTGTGGAATTCTCCCTTCTATGAAAGGAAGGTAACGTTTCAGCATGATTATTCAACAAATACTCTTTAATGTGCTTTTTTAGGGAGGGTAATACCCATATACGAATTCACAGTAAACACCGGAGACAATACCAGGGTCCAGGCCTGGTGCTCAAGGGGCTAGAAGCAGGACAGTCTCTGCCACTGAGCAGCTCAAGGTGGTAGAGGGACACAGGACACAGGGCCCAGCCCACGATGACACTAGGGAACCATGCAGATGACAAAGGTGGAACCCAGCCCTAGCACCATCATGTGGTAGGAAGTAAAAGACCCCTGTGTTCTGGAAGCTGACCCCACTGGCCCCTTCCCTCCTCCTAGACCCCTTCCTCTTTGGTGCCTGTGATCCAGCCCTCTGACTGCTCCTCTAGCTCTGTGCTCCCTAAGCTTATCATCCCACGGCTCCCTGAGGCCACCCAGAGCCCTGGCCTCTCCCTCAAGGCTCAGAACTTTACAACTCAGTGCTGGCTCTGCGTTTGCACTTGGACATGTAACAAGATGCTCATTCTGACCTGGATGTAGAGTCACTCTTTGATCCCTTCCAGCCTCTCCTTCCTGATTGGCCCTTGTGTCCCCCAACATCTGCTAAAACATAAACTACACCTCTGCTCTGCTCAGACAGCTGCCCCTCACACAGAGGGCGTGAGCAAAGCCAGTGGCCCCTGTCTGCCTGGGTCCCATCACAGCCTTGGTCTCCACACGTCCCGCCCCACTGGCCCTTGCTGCTCTCGCCATCCCTCTGCATGAAGCGACCTCTAAGAGTCCCAGGCTCGCCCTGGGTGGCCTTCAGCAGAGAGGATGTCCAACACCTGCTAAAACAGCGCCACTCCCTCACTCGTCTCTTCCCTCCCGACCCATCTGTACTCATGTTGCTGACTGCTGGCAGGAATCTGTCCCTCCTCACTAAAATGTAAGCCCATGAAAGCTCGAACACTGTCTGTTCTCCTGTTCCCCAGCACCTCCAAGAGGTACTGCACACAGATAATGCTCAATAAATAACTGGTGGATGAACACATGAATACTCTGACGCTTACAGGAGTAATGTCAATAAATTACAGAAGCTCCTCAGGTAGTCCATGCATTTGTTTTTCTTTAAAACATGATTTGACAGGAGGCAGCTGTGGATGTCCCCCTCCTTCCATAGTGTGCTGTGAACGGCAGCTCAGGTGTCACCTCTGCCTCCTGTCTATGCATGACCCCATGTCTCTGTGCAGCCCACTCACCCTGGGATCTTGTTCTGCTGCAGATGGGCACTCAGGGCAGATGGGCACTCAGGGCAGATGGGCACTCAGGAGGTCCACATGGGGCTCAAGAGCTTGTGCTTCTAACAAGTTCCAAGTGGGTCGAAGCTACGGCTCCACTCCAAACGTTTGGTGCCCACAGCTGCATGAATTCTGCCTCCACAGCCCATCCGGATCGAGGTGCCCATGACCAAACTGCACCCCTCACCCAGCAGTGCCTCCTCCCTGCCTTGCCACCAGACACGTTGTGTATAACTCAGTCCTTCCGTAAGGTTTCATGGTCCAGGTCTTATTCCCTCCTCATTTGTCGCATTCTTTCTTCTTACTCCTGCTGCCTTCCACATTCATGCATTCTGCAGAAGCCCTGTTCCCTTTTATCAGGCCTGCCGGCCTCACTCTGCCCAGGGCAGCCCTGCCACCTGCACTTCCAGCAGAGTGCTCTCCTCACCAAACCCCAGACTCACACACTGTAGAAGGCCCAGTGTCTGTGGAGCTAAAACTGCACTCTCTTCCCTGCACTATGTCCTCTGTTCTGTCTACCACTCTGGCAGACTTGCCCAGGCCCACCACCTCTGCCTAGGCTCTCAAAGCTGCCACCCAAGTGGCTTCCTGCAATTCTTCCCTCTACTCTAGCCAGCTTAAGTCAGTTACCTCCATCACCTGCCCTAAAACAAACACCTGAGTCATCCCCTCACAGTCCCCACAGCTCTGCACTGTCACTGACCTGGCCAAGGGGAGCCACTGTCTCTCCCTAGAGCATGTCTGTCCACACCCTCCTCTTGCCTGGTGCCAGTGCCCTTCCCTAGACTCCCACCCTGAATTCTGACCACTCTTCAGGGTCCACTCCACTAACCCTAACCCAACTCCTCTCACCCTGTGTCTATCACTGACCTGGAAGAGCGCCCGCTTAGGCTGTGTACACACGTTATCTCATCCTCACCACAGTCCTGGGAGGGAAGTAACCCTACTCCCCAGGCCTCTGATAAGGAAATGAGACTCACAGGGCTTAGATATCTGTCCAAGATGTCACAACCAGAGGGCAGGCGACGGAGGCCCCTGGGGCCGGCCATTTAAGCGCACTGGCCCCAGCTGCCTCCAGGACTCCAATGCACCCTACCTCTCTTCTGCCTGTGGCCAGCTCTTTGAGTGCTTGTCTCAGGCCCTGTTGCTCCCTAAGCCCCACAGTCCCCACAGCACACAGGGCAACCAGAAAACTTCTCAGATTAAACGTATCAGGACTACTAAACTTAAGGAAAAAATATGCTTCTGCCATATTGCCAACTCTCCATTTATAAATTGGTACCAGTACTTTCTAAGGGTAGAATGAGCGCAACCTCTCCCAACATCTTTCACTCAGTAAAACAGGGATAATGGCCAGGCTTACAGGTAATGCTTCTTCTGAGCATGAAATGAGACTGTATGTAAGATGACATTCTTTTTTTTGAGACGGAGTCTCACTCTGTTACCCAGGCTGGAGTGCAGTGGTGTGATCTCCGCTCACCGCAAACTCCACCTCCTGGGTTCAAGGGATTCTCTTGCCTCAGGCTCCTGAGTAGCTGGAATTACAGGCATGCACACTACGCCCAGCTAATTTTGTACTTTTAGTAGAGATGGGGTTTATCCATGTTGGTCAGGCTGATCTTGAACTCCCGACCTCAGGTGATTCACCCATCTCGGCCTCCCAAAGTGTTGGGATTACAGACGTGAGCCAACATGCCTGGCCATAAAATCACATTCTTGAGAGCCAGGCTCAGGGTATGTACCCAATAAACAGAAACCATCGCTACTAGCTAAGGATAATTTAAAAACAAGAACTGAATTAGAAAAGAGGCCAGGTGCAGTGGCTCATGCCTCTAATCCCAGCACTTTGGGAGGCCGAGGTACGTGGATCACCTGAGGTCAGGAGTTTGAGAACAGCCTGACCAACATGGTTTCACCCCGTCTCTACTAAATACAAAAAATTAGCCGGGCGTGGTGGTGCACGCCTGGAATCCCAGCTACTTGGGAGGCTAAGGCAGGAAAATCTCTTTAACCTGGGAGGTGGAGGTTGCAGTGAACCAAGATCGCACCGCTGCAATCCAGCCTGGGCAACAGGAGGCAGACTCTGTCTCAAAAAAAAAAAGAAAGAAAAAAAAAGGAAACCATTAAAAAAAATTAACTACAGAATCATGAAATTTGAGTTATTTTATAAATTACCTATCTCAATACTCATTTTATAGAATGGAGCTTACTATTAAAAAATATTCAGCTGGGACTGAGTATAGTAGCTCATGCCTATAATCCCAGCAATTTGGGAGGCTGAGGCAGGAGGATCACTTGAGCCCAGGAGTTCAAGACCAGCCTGGGCAACATAATGGAACTCCATCTCTACAAAAAAATTAAAATAAAAAATAAATTAGCTGGGCACGGTGGTGCATATCAGCAGTCCCAGCTACTAGGGAGGCTGAGGCAGGAGAATCACTTGAGCCTCGGAGGTTGAGGCTGCAGTGAGCCATACAGTGAGCCACTGCACTCCAGCCTGGGTGACAGTGAGACCCTGTCTCAAAACGGGAAAAAAAAAAATTCAAAGAAGAAATCCAATATTACACCACGTTTTCTTTGTTCCCAATGCAGTGTGTTTTGGCATGGATGTGTTCTGAGAAGACAGGCCTTGTGCCACCGATGGACTGTCTCACACATGTCTTTATTAGCCCCTTCAAGTTTATTTCAGTCTTGGAGACGGAGTCTCGCTCTGTCGCCCGGGCTGGAATGCAGTGGCACGATCTCGGCTCACTGTAAGCTCTGCCGCCCAGGTTCACGCCATTCTCCTGCCTCAGCCTCCCGAGTAGCTGGGACTACAAGTGCCCACCACCATGCCTGGCTAATTTTTTGTATTTTTAGTAGAGATGAGGTTTCACTGTGTTACCCAGGATGGTCTCAATCTCCTGACCTGATGATCCGCCTGTCTCAGCCTCCCAAAGTTCTGGGATTACAGGCGTGAGCCACCACGCTCAGCCTATTTCAGTCTTTTTTTTGGGGACAGAGTCTCACTCTGTTGCCCAGGCTCGAGTACAATGATGCAGTCTCAGCTCACTGCAAACTCTGTCTCCCAGGGTCAAGCGATTCTCCTGCCTTGGCCTCCTGAGTAGCTGAGATTACAGGTGTGCACCACCATACCTGGATAATTTTTGTATTTTTAGCAGAGATAAGGTTTCACCATGTTGGCCAGGCTGGTCTCAAACTCCTAACCTCAAGTGATCCACCCACTTCGGCCTCCCAAAGTGCTGGGATTACAGGCATGAGCCACTACGCCCAGCCGTACTTCAGTCTTCTCTAAAGCAGTGATGTGCATGGTGCTGTGAGCCCCCAAAGAGAAAAACAGCAGCAGCATTTTACTCTGGACTGATACAAAACTGAAAAATCTACTTGCCTCTCCATTTTCCTGGGCTGGACTCGGTGCATCGGCTGACACATTCTCTTGGTCATCAGTTTTTGTTTTCTTACTACATTCCTTAAAAAAGCAAAGGAACATTATTAATGAACTTTTAATTCGTCTCCATTAAGAAAATGTGCATACTCTGACCAATGAAGCTCATGTATTTCTATCTTCTTTTAAATTAATTAATTATTTTTTAGACAGAGTCTCACTCTCACCCAGGCTGGAGTGCAGAGGCACAATCTCGGCTCACTGCAGTCTCTTCCTCCCGGGTTGAAGCGATTCTCCTGCCTCAGCCTCCCGAGTAGCTGGCATTATAGGTATGCACCACCACGCCCGGATAATTTTGTATTTTTAGTAGAGACAGGGTTTTGCCATGTTGGCCACGATGGTTTTGAACTGCTGACCTCAGGTAATCCACCTGCCTCGGCCTCCCGAAGTGCTGGGATTACAGGCCTGCACTGCCACTCCTGGCTAATTTTTGTATTTTTAGTAGAGAGGGGGTTTCACCATGTTGGCCAGGCTGGTCTCGAACTCCTGACCTCAGGTGATCCACCCGCCGAGGCCTCCCCTCCTAAGATGCTGGGATAACAGGCATGAGCCACCGCGCCTGGCCTTCTATCCTTTCCCGGCCTTCTATCCTTTCTAGTGAAACAAAAGCGCACGGACTTAAGATCACACACACATCTCTATTGTCTGCAATAATAAAAAAGCAGAAGCAACAGTAGCCTCCCCTATATAGGTGAATTCCCCTGGACGCAGGTGTCCTTAGAATACGACGCAGCCACCAACGGGGATGAACGACCCATTGAACGCTCGGAAGCCTCCTGCCACGGTGTCACGCACAGAAGAGCCAGCCACAGAGCAGCATCCACGGGAGCCCATTTCGGCAAAAACGGCTACAAACCCCCCTGCGTGCGCTGCGCGCTGGTGGCCACGGCCTGGAGACAAGCGCGGAGGGCGCCGGTCAGCAGCCGTCACCCGCTTCCGCCCCTGCACCGGCTGCTCGGTGACCCTCAGCGGGACAGGTTCGAAAACGCCTAAAAACCCCTCGGAACGCTTCTGATCATTCCCGCCACGACCGGCGTTTACTCGGACTGTGCCGCGCGGCACGAGAGGCTCGGTCTCCGTTCGTTTCCGCGCTTCGCGGGCGTGGGAAAGATGGACAAGTTCAGGGAGAACCGCTATGACCGAGCCCGCCCCACAGCGCAGCGGACCCCGCGCCGGCCGCCTCCACGCCGGGCGGGCCCAGGGTGCTGAGGCCGGGGAAACCCTGAAGAGCCCTGAGGCGAGCAAGCGGCGGGCCCGGGCCGCCAACCTCCGCCGCCCAGAGAGAGCCCCACGGGACAGGCACCGGGCGCGCGCCTCCCGGGCCCGCGGCGCTCACCTTGCGCGTGCAGTGCTCACACTTCATCTGGAGCGCTGCGGGCGGGAGGCCGGGCGCCTCGGCCTGAGGGAAGCACCGGGAGACTGGGACACCGCCGCCCGCAGCCCGCGGCCCTTTGTTGTCCTGCCCCGACGCGGCCTCACCCCCAACGGCCGCACTCGGCCAATGAGAGCACCCGGAGACGACAAGCCGCACCCCTGGGCCAATAGGATTCCCCACCCCTACGGCTTTGTCTAGGCCAATCACAGTGTCGAGAAGGGGCGGGCCAGGCCCCAGAGCCAATCGGAGCGCGCGGGGCGGAGCGCAGCTTCACTCCACGTACGGCGCCGCGGGGACCGGGTTCTAGCGCCGGTTTCCGCTTCTCGCGGGTCCTGCGGCGGCGGCGGCGGCCAAGCGGCGTTCACCAGGGAGTCGGTGAACGCGCGGACTGTCCCGAGGCCAAGCCGTGGCCGTTCCAGGGTGCTCGGTCCGGTGGTCACGGGGCCTGGAGGCCGTGGCCGGGCTCGCTCAGCCAGCTTGGCGTCGGACACTCGCCTTACTCGTGGCTCCCGACGGGGCGAGCCGGGGGCACAGCTCTCGTCCGCCGCCATTGCCGCTTCACTTCGTGTCACGTAGGCTTGGCGGAGTAGCAGCGCGCATGCGCGGCCTGCCTGGCAGTAACCACGTGACGGACCCGGAAGCACGAGGGCAGATGCTAAATGATGGCCTTTTGACATTTGCGTGCGTTCATGGTGGATAATTTTACCAAGTACATTGGTTTGGGCCCTTACAGTTTACAAAGTAAAGAATAACACTTACTCCAAGAAATGGATTTCAGTTAAGCAAAATGGCTTAATGGTAGTGTTGGACTCCTCTGCTAATTATAAACATTTTATGAAATCAGTGTATGTGTATTACAGAAATCAGAAATGAGAAATAAGAACATGTCTGGAAGAGTGTGACATAAGAAAAATAACTTGTAGGCATATTTAACAGACACCAGCAGTTCTCAGGATTCCCCATGTTAGAGCCTTTCTTCCTGTCCTCTGAGAAGTGAAAATGAAATCCAAAGACCCCCAACTGACTGCATGAACCCCCTACTGGCTAAGGAGATCCCAGAGTTACCTTGAAGATAGTTCTCAGCCATGACAGATGGGAGGTGAGACACCTGTTATTACCGGCGGCCCTTGGCTGACTACCATTAGGTTTTCTTTGCTAAGAGCTTGACGGAAACCAGCCCTTTCGAATGACTCCACCGCTGATAACCCTCCCACTTGCAGTTTCAGCGTAATTGACCAGTATTCCTTACTGATAAGAGATCACTGACCATGGAGTGGTTCTGGCCAGATGACATGACCCTCATGAAGGGGCCTGAAGCTTCACTGTGGTTGTGTATGTTTCTCTCTTCAAAAATATTCATGACTCCTCCTGTAGCTTGCTAAATATGTATATTTACACACTACTCTGCAAAGATTCCTGTTCCTTTTGCCCCTCCCTGGAAGTGTCCGTTTCTGGCTTCTGGCCAGAGGCAGTGCTTCCCTGCCTGTCAAAATGGCCACCCTGCAGGCTGAAATCCTTTATGAGAAATAAAGCTCTCCTTTCCAAATGTATGAATCTCATCATTCTTCAGCTTGTCATTGACCGTCAGGTTCTTCCTGCCCGCTGTACAGACAAAAAGTCAATTCATCAAGATTGCAGCACGACAGGAAAAGAATTTAATTGACACCTGGCAGGCCACACAGGAAGACAGAGTTATTACTCAAATCAGTCTCTCCAAAGGCTCAGCGGTTAGGGTTTTTTATGGACAATTTGGTGGGCAGGGGACTAGGGAATGGGTGCTGCTGACTGACTGGGGATGAAATCATAAAGGTGTGTGGAAAATGGTCCTCAAGCACTGAGTCTGCGTCAGGGTGGGGCCACAGGAACCAGTTGAGTCCTGAGTCACAGGTTGGGGTGGGTTCACTCTGAAAAACATCTCAAAAAGCCAATCTTAGGTTCTGCAATACTGATATTATCTATAGGTGCAATTCGGGAAGTTGCAAAGCTTGTGACCTCTAGCTACGTGAATCCTGAGCAGTAAGGGATTGTAGAAACCAGGCCTACATTTTAGCAGAGTTCAGGCCCCTTCCACAATCCTAAACTTGTGGCCTTTCATTAGCTTTACAAAGGCAGTTTCGGCCCCAGAAGAGGGAGGTGATGGTTTTAGGAAGGGACTGTTATCATCCTTGCTTCAAAGTTAAACCATAAATTCCTCCCAAAGCTCCTGAAATTAGCTTGGCTTATGCCCAGGAATAACCAAGGACAGCTTGGATGTCAGAAGAAAGATGGAATTAACTATGTGAAATTTCTCTTTTTTTTTTTTTGAGACAGGGTCTCACTCTGTCACTCAGGCTGGAGAGCAGTGGTGTGATCACAGCTCACTGCAGCCTCAACCTCCTTGGCTCAAGTAATGCTTCCACCTCAGCCCTGCCGGGTAGCTGAGACTACAGCTTGCACCACCATGCCTGGCTAAATTTTAAGCTTTTTGTAGATACAGGGTCTCCCCATGTTGCCCAGGCTGTTCTTGAATTCCAGGGCCCAAGTGATCCACCACAGCCTCCCAAAGTGCTGGGATTACAGGTGTGAGCCACTGCACCCAGCCTCTCGCACTGCCTTAATCTCTGCAAAGGTAGTTTCAAGTTGACACTTCAACGTTGAGGCCGGGCACAGTGGCTCACGCCTGTAATCCCAGCACTTTGGGAGACCAAGGCAGGTACGTCAGTTGAGGTCAGGAGTTTGACACCAGTCTGGCCAATATGGTGAAACCCCATCTCTACTAAAAATACAAAAATTGGCCGGGTGCGGTGGCTCAAGCCTGTAATCCCAGCACTTTGGGAGGCTGAGACAGGCTCAGGAGATTGAGACCATCCTGGCTAACCCGGTGAAACCC